AAAGTAAAACCATCCTTAATTTACTTTAAATTAATATTTATCGGTATATTTAAACATGTGCAATAAATTTTAAAACCTGTGTTCTAATATAAATGTTTTCTATATTAGAATATCAAGTATCGAAATAAAAGTTTATGTTGAATTGTTAATTATGAAAAATATTATCTATTTTTAATAATTTATTATATACTCTTATTTAAAAATAAATATGATTATATTTTTAATTTTTTATTACAGCTAAAACAGTTATATTTCAAATAGATAATTTTTGAACGGATCGAGAGATATGAATATAAATTTCTTCGGTATTAGTACATATGATTAATTAATATTTTTATGATACAACATTATATAAGTTTATTTGCAAAAGTATGTTTAATATAAAAATATATTGTATATTATATACTTGTTTTAGGGTTTCTCAAATACATTTAATATAGGCATGTAAATATGTACGAAAAGAGAAGCTGACATAATAATGTCAAACGTACAAGAAACTGTTTTTATCAGCTATTTTAGATATACCTTCATTTCATTAGTTTTTCTCGTTCTGAATAAAGAACAATTAAATTATGAAAGATAAAAAAAAATTAAATTCCACAATAAAAATGTGCTGTAAATATAAATTTATTTATGAAAAAAGTGAATATAAAAAAATCTATGGTACCAGAAGAGTGAATGTAAATTTGTCGATGTTATTATAGTAAATAACAATCATAGTTGATTATTTCTTTCATTCTTATTATATAATAATATTTATATGATACTTAGATAGTTTTCATTGTGCATGTTATTTAAATCTATATGCAATTGTATTTTATATATATTAAAAAATATATAGCTTTTGTTAAATAATTTTAATGAAAAAATTTGTATGAATTTATGTCATTTTCTCAACATCATATTTTTTACTCCAATTCTAATTAATACAATTCATGAAACTTTTTATGTAATTTCAACATATCTATAAAATAAAACTTTTCATGTTTTAAAATTTGAAAACTAATATAAAAATAATCAATCTACGTTTTTCTTTCTTTATATGTTAATCAATATAAAGGAAAATCTACATATTTAAAACAACAATTATATTTTAATATAAATTATCCGCTAATTAAGAAAAAGAAAATATGTGAAAATTGTTGAAATGAATATTATGTCATATTATTATGTAATATTAATATTATTAGGAAGTTTAAGAATTAATTTACGGAATTTATTTAGTATATTTTTCACAATAATGAAAAAACTTATTTTTAAATTTGGAACAAATTTTTTGAATAAAGACAATTTGCTTAACATATATATTTATATTCGAAAGTAAAATCATACATATTAATATTAATATTAATATAATTTCACATTTCTTATAAATTTGAAGTTTTCACACTCTAAAGAATTTTAGAATACTAAATGTCATAAGATACTCATTAGGATTGAAATTATTAAAAAAATTTTTATCACTAACTCTTATTTTTTTAAATATTAATTTTAATTATTTACCATACGTGGAATATTTATAGTTTATACATTAAATATCTTGTTATTTAGTGCAATCGAATAATTATTCTGTGTATTTTATTTACAAATATTAATATTATTTTTGAACAGACTTACTATTTTATCGAAAATAAAAGTTACAGTATGATTTAAAATAGAATTTAAAAATACTTTCGAGTCAGAAATTATTTTTTAATCTCATATATAGCAATATTATATTTTCATTTAACCTTCTTATCTAGTAATTAATATATTTCTTATCGTATACTTATGTTTTAAATATATTATATTCGTCCATATTATATTTATACAAAATGTACATATTTAAAGTTTTGATATTTTAATGATGATATAACCATTTTTTTATGTAAATAAGAAAACCTTTTTATATAAATTATGTGATTAATATTTTTAAAATAAAATGTATTTAATACTGTTTAGATTTGGATACGAACTTAATAATAAAAGTAATTAAAGAATAGAAACATTTTATTATTGCTTCTAATATTTTTATGCTTTTTACAATAAATTATATGTGTTAATAGTACATAATATAGTTTACAACTAGTTTAAAAATTCTTTAGTATTTTATTATTAAAATCTATATTTTTATATAAATAATTCCAAATATTGATTTATATTTTAATTTAAAATATTTGTAAGAGTATATAAAAACCATTTCTTTTATTCATTATAAACATCTTTTAGTTAATATTAATTGGATGAGACTATTATTTAGACTGTAACATTTAGAATAAATACATGTTTCAATGCTCATATTCTTTAAGTTGAAAATAATAATAAAAAATTTTATAAATAAATTTAATATAGAAAATTCTAAAAATAAAGTACATAACGATAATACTACAAATATATGAGAAATATATGACCTTTCCAGTGATTTAAGAAAAGAGTTTTATTTTAATATAAAGTCTCGAGATTAAAAAAATACTTGGACAATTCTAATTATGTAAGGAATTTTTATTCTTACTATGTCTAGGGGCTAAATTTTTGTTGTCAAATTCAAGTTTCAAATACCGTTAATTTTTGTATTTATTTAAACTTTTTCAATTTTGCTTTGTTTAAAAAGCTTTTTCTTTCTTACTCAATTTCTGCAACATTCTTCGCGTTTCTCTTAAAAATTGGTTTTCGATAATGTCTTATAAAGAACGTCTTTGCATATTTATATTTGACAGACGGAAAGTAGAACACAACAAGTAATACACTTTTCCTGTAGTGTATCGAGAGTAACAATTGATGGATAATTAACTTGCCCATCCCCGATTAATGCAACTGCCTAATAAAGATAATATTTAAAAATGTGTCAAAGAGTGTCGCTTCGTTATTAATATCATATTATCGACGAGTTTCCAGTACTTGCTTCTTCGCACTCTTATCCTAATAATCTGATAGTAAGCTTCATCTCGGACTTCATGCAGTTCAACTGAATTTCGGTGACTCCAGAAGCTGCTTTTCATGTCTCTCAACTAGTTCACTTCTATATGTTACTATATGTATGTATGTACGAGATTTTATGAGTTATTGCATATTTTGAATCGGATTATGAATACTTGCAACAATATACATATAATCATCTTTTAACAATTGAGTAAAATTTCTCGATTCGTTTTGAAGATAATGAAAATAATTAAATATAGTTATAATAAATAAAAAAGAATATGATACTTTTAAATATATAATATTATTGTATTATAATATTTTCATACATATTCTAACAACTGTAATATTATTGTGATATATATTGATATTTTTTCGATTTTCTACGAAATCGGATGCATAATAATTTTTCATTTGATAGAGATTGTGTTGGTTCCTTTATGAAATTCTATGTCATCCCAAAGTCCAATGGATTAATCACACAATAGACCATTGTAAGAATGTAACAATTATTTATGATTGCGCATATGTATTTATTGTTTGTTATATGTATTATGAATAAAAAAAATGACCTTTCCTTGAATTTACACTTACACCATCCATAATCTTTATATCATTAGCATATTGATTAATTGTTAGTTATGATTGGTTAAATAAAGATTATCTATCTAACTAAAAAAATATTTTTTTATATTAATTCAATATTTTACATATATATTTTAATATTTTAAATGCGATTGGTTATGAGTAATTTAGAAAATATAAATTATTTACTTTATTTAGAAAATTTTAATATTGATATTAATATCATTATTAACTAGAATGTTAAAGTAATGTTATAAAATACTACTAATCATTAATTTAACAGAAGAATAAGTAAAATGTAGAGAAATTCTGAAATTTGAATTTCATATTATGAATTCAATATATATAAAGATTTGTTCAATAATATTTTATGCATGAAATTGAAAAGAAATTGGAATTTACCTTTAATTGACATTTAGAAGAGTTTAAATAAAGATACGCTCAAATTTATGATATGCATAATTTATAAATGCAAAAGCAGTATTTGGTAAAGTGACGAATGAGATAGTAAAATTAGAAAAACAAGAACTCTTCATTCTTGTAATTTATAATACAATATTTGATTATGTTTCAATAATGAGAAATATACTGTGGATATTATATGCAAATTAAGAAATGTTAAATAGATTAATTTTGAATAAATATTACTGTTATAAAATAGGAAATAGAATACACAATTTTATAAAATTTTGAATTATAAATAAAAAGGAATAGCATTTAAATGATAATATTTGAAATACGAATGTTTGAAATGATGATTTTTTGAAAAATAAAATATTGAAATATATACGAATACATTAATAATATTAAAATCTAATCGAATAAGTTCAATATTCTCTTTATTTTAAACATAAATATAAAGAAAAATAAAAACAATGATTGTGTATAAAGTATTTTCAGAATGATTTATAAAATTTGAAAAAAAAGTAATTTTAAAAAATATTTGACAAAACCATATTTTAATAATGTTTACATATTAATTCACATGGTATAGAAAGCTGTTCCTGATAAATGAATTATAATGAAAACATTTGAGTAGTACATAAGTATATAAGCGAATGATTAGGAATATGAAAAGTATATAAGCATATAAACGTAGTTAATGAATTTTACTATGCTATAGATACAGTAAATATTAGTATTTATATAAAAAAAATCCATCATGGTTTTCATTTATTCATGTAATAATTAAATATGCAAAAATTTGCAAATTCTCTAGTCGCAACAATTCTTTATTATATCAAAACATTAGTAGTTTTTATTCTTCACAACTATATTTTGTACACATAATGCATGAACAATACTCACTATATGCATATACGTGTATAGTTGCAAGCGGAATAGTTGTTGTACGCGCATATAAATATTTATTAGCTATATCTATTGTTATTTAATTTAGATGCAGTAAAACAGTCTTGAATATTAAAATAAAAAAGTCATATGCAACAATAATATCTTATAATATTATTTAATAATATTATTTTAAAATTGATAAAATTTATTGTTGTGATTTGATTTGATAAAAATTACATTTAAATGTTAAAATTAATCATAAATCATGTTGAACCGATGTTATATTACCACGGTTCATTAAATTTGCTTGATTTGAATAAATAGAAAATGTAAAAATTAATAATTAATCAGATTGTCCTACGTTATACAATATAAATTTAATAAATTTAAGATGATAATATATGCTTGTATATACATCTGGTATACCTTCAGCACATGGATTACTTAATGAAATCAAACCAACGAGTTTTCCAACACTTATTAATGGACCCCCGCCATCACCCTGTAATATATTAAAAAGTTACTTATTTATTTAAAGAAAATGACAATCTAATACTTCATACTTATAATTTTAATAAAAACTTCGATATCAATATAACCATAGTATTAATTATAATACGGGCTTTTATTATGTATTTTATATGTAATAAGTAAAAATATACATAATAGTAAAAAAGTATTTACGAAACAAGGACCAATTCCTCGATGTTGGATTCCGCAAAATTGATCCGCGTAAATTCCTGGATATACATCTTGACATTTTTTATTATTAATAATGGTTACCCATATCTTTTGAAGAAAAACACTATGTACGATATTTGGAAAATATGTTGATCCCCAGCCGACAAATACACCGATATTACCGTCAATAATATTTTCAGTTGCAAGTTTTATTTTTGATATAAATTTGCTGAACTCCATATAACCCTTTATCTACAAATATAATAAAAAATTATACTTTTACTAAAATTACATAATTGAATATAATATGCAGTATATTTTTTTATATTAATGAAATTCATTTTAATGATCGAAAAAAACGAAGAAAATTATTTTGTGTTCATTTTTACAATAAAATTTGTACCTTATAAATTAATAAATGTATTTTTAATTTCAATTAGTATTACATTAACATTTTAAACATACCTGAATAATAGCGATGTCATTTTGAATTGTATTAAATGGGTTTAAATTTCCCGTGTACTCGGTATGAATGAAAATTTTATTCGGATAATATGTGATTCCTGTATAGCTCGATGAATTGAAATTACCTACAATGATTTTTATATTGTCGTGTGAATCAATATTCTTATCGACACAGTGGGCCGTTGTTATAATATGAAAATGACTGATAATAGCAGCACCACATATTAATTGATCGTTCGAAATACGCTTTAATAATGCTTGATAGGGAAAATCCGTTGTATCTGTATTTTGACCGCCGATTATTCTCCCTTTCTTACTGAACACAGCTAAACAATGTTTTATTATGCTTTACATTAATGTAATGTCATATTTAGTAATTAATTTATAAATTAGAATTATATTAGACTTGTTTTGATTATTGTGAAACTTAAAAAATATTTTTCAATATTATTAATTATATTTTCATATACAAATTATATTAAGTAAGTTTATTTTATTTATTAATCTTGAATGCTTTATTAATATATTTTTATTTTTCTTCATATTTCTTTATTGATATTTAGTTATTTTATAATTAAATTTGGAATTTAAGGAGGTATAATTAATATATAAATTTTACTTACGAGCACTCGATATAAGGCACAGATAAATAAAAATTTGTAAAGACATTGCGGTAGTTGTAAATTTAATGACAGATTAGAAGATATAAAACTGACTTATATAAAAAAACTATTTATTATTCAGACGACATACGTTTTATCTTAAATATATTTTCTTTTAATAACGATTATAATTAGTTCTTACAATTGTAGAAAATCATGTAAGATAATGACTAAAATAAATAATAAAGTTAATATATTTGCTTTTGTGAATAGAGTAATACATATATCTGTATTACAATGCAATAATAAAAATAAATATTCACATAAGCTATTGAAAATTCTTTAATTAGCAATATATTTATGCATATGTAGATACACGTATGCATCATGCAGGTACGCATGCATATATTCATATCCATTTGATGTATCAAAGAAAAATATATTAACGTGTGTAATACTCTAAACATGATGTTTAAAACTGAAATATAAATTTTTCCATACGAGTAAAAATAAATTAATAAACCATAAAATATGATTTTAAATTTAAAATAAACTACAAGTATTTCAATGATTTTTTGTGGTTAATTGACTAAAGTAAAATGGATAACTTACAAGTTTTAATACAAATGAGGGTCGACTGTTTAATAGAGAAACGAATTGATACGATATTCGTAATTAATATGTGCATATAAGTTGTCAGCTTTGTTCTTTATGTTTTATTTTCGAAATGTACCGGTCCCAACCGGAATAATTTGTTGGTGGAATTTCGAAAATATGCATATTCTGGGATGTAGCTGTCGAATTTATATCTCGTTATTTACAAGCACACCTAAATTTTGACGTTAATAGTCCGCAAAGTAGACTTGTGATTGTTTTATTTACCTTCTTTATACATTTTCTTTTTCAGTAAATACGAAATTCCCTCCTTTACGAATAATCGCGTATTCCTTGAAATATTATCTGTAAATTATCTACATTAATCGAATTTGTGTTTAAATTTGTTAACAGAATTTTTAATTTACACAAATGTTACCCAAGGTTAATTAAAATATACATACATTTATACATACTGTTAAATAATCATTATAATATTAAAAAGAATACGTTTCCATATATTGCATATTAATTATTTATTTAATAGCGTATACTTAGTAAAAAATAGTATATGCACTGCTTCAGCTATATTTAGACTTTTCATTATTTAAATTTATTTAAAGCATATTTTCATCTATTTCATACTGTTATTGTATCAATTTTTACAATAATATAAAGAATTTTTTTTTCTATATAATAAAGTAATATAATTCATCCTAAATTTTTGTTTATATTGCTTCATTGTCCAAGACAATTTTAAAACAAATTGTCCAAGATAATTTTAACATTTATCAGTGTTGGTTATTATTGTTTTTTTCTTACTGGTTTCAGAAATATATATGTGATTTTCAGTCGATAGTTGATTATTTAATATTATTAGTATTAATTTAACGGTAAAGTTTTAGTTATCGTTGTTATTATTATTTATTATTTTATAATTATATTTATATTTATTATTTATACTTTATATTATTAAATAATTTTATAATTATTTTATAAAATTCATCATTGAAAGCTTGTTTTGATTCTCTGACTATATCGTGTTCCAAAAAACATACCTTATTTAGTTGATTTCTTAAACATGTCACGTATTGTACAATTATTTCGGTGTTAATTATTAGGAAAAATATTGCGAGTTGCCATATACCGATATCGTATTTATTTTTTCCACTATTCTCTTAAAATATTATATTACAACTGTTTCAATCCTGAGTAAATCGTTTCAGGAAATCATTCTATCATGTTACTTGTTTCTGAATTATATCTTGTTATATATATATATATATATATATATATATATATGTTCTTAATTCATGGTAATTTACACAATTTTCATAACAATGAAGATTTATTCTATGAGCGCCCATTATTCTAGTCTCTGCATAATTTAATGTAACTGTGTTGAAATCAATTTACAAGGTTTCCAAAATTTTAATCAATATTTACATTTACCACCGTGAATTTATAGCGTTGGTATAATTTGTATTGGAAAATCTCCTCTCTGCAGTATTTATTTATGTTAAGTTATTCGAATGACTGGACAATTAGTTTTTGTACATCTCTCATATATTAATCAAAATAGGTTTATTTACTCGATGGTGCATAGTTATAGAATTCTCTAGAAATCATAATAAATGTTTTAGTTTTAATTAATTTTTCTTTTAATTTTGTTTTAATATCATTTTTCTCTATTATATATTGGCTGGTAAAATCTAAGTATTAACATTTCGCTATATTACTATTTATATTTTTTATAGCGGTTTAAAACGAGAGTAAATCAAGGTTGTATGTTTTATATAAAAAAAAAACTAACGGTTGTCACTAGTTATTAATTTACTTTTAAAGTGCAGCACCCACATTCTAATTGGATATATACAACGATAATACCTATCTATTCCTATACTTGATTAGAGAGATCATTGAGAGGTTTTCTTTGAACCTATAAAAGTATTTTTTATTTCGTTGAACCACGAAATTGCGTTATCTCTTCATTTAAATCTTGTTGAAAGATTATTTGGGGTTCGCTACAATTTTACAATATGTAATAAACATCATTACAAGAAATCAGCATTTCTACATATATTTTTGCAATACTTTTGTAGTTTGGGGCTCTAAAAGTATTTATCGCTTTCACATGTTTATGTCAGAGTTTAATTCCTTATAGCATATCCGTGAAGTGTAAATTTACTTAGTCTAAATATGGATCTACTGAATTTTTTTATATCGCCGTGCACATTTAGACAATATTTTAAAGTAAATAGCTTATGTTCACGTAAATGAAATTTTAATCGTATTTCGTTAAAGAAAATTGATACTTCTGTAATGGTATTGTTCTTCATTCTTGTGAATAGTGTGAAGTTTATCTAGTGAGGTCGCATTTAATAAGCATTATAGAGGAATCTTTCGATAGCCTTACAACTCCTAAGTTAGGTCTCAATTTAAATTGAATTTTAAATTGTTTCATTTAGGAGCTAAATGATACAATTTATCATAAAGCGGCATTTACCGTTATTTCGATATGGAATATCATATTGCATTTGCGATTACTTCTAATTTTACTATCTTCTAACAATTTTAGGTCGTTTTAAATTATCGTATATCACAAGTGAATTATGGTGTTATGATTTATGATCTATTGTTTTAATATCGATAATTTACTATGGCAATACATAACCGTTATTGACAATAATTCTTATATCGCAGGTAGATTAATAATCTATATTACTAAAGGAAATTACAAGGATATTTTAACAGATTTGATAATATCTTCTATTCAGAATTACCACTTAAAAGATTTTTGTAAGAAAAAATTAGATTTTTTTTGTGTAAAAGAGAATATCATGGAATGGAGCATTACGTGAATTTTTCTTGAATTAGCACTCTTGTTTTCAGTGTAACATGTTTTCATGTTTTAAGATGTACATTAGATGATTTCATTAAAGTTTTATTGTGATATTAAATTTGATTGTGAATTAAATTATACATCTTTAAATTAAAATGCTAATAAGAATGTGTTTGAATCCAGTTCCAATTCATCATAGTCTCCTGCATTCCAGCAAAAATCCTGTACACTGATGCTTTCATTAGTTATGTTTGTGTTAGTATAAAAAATAAAAAGAATAAATACATTTATTGTTTGTGAAATCATCAATCTTCATCCAATAAAATAAATATATATACGTTTTAATACAAATGCGTATAGACTGTTGAATAGCTTTTAAAATATATTTTAAAAATATATAATTAAAATATATATTTAAATATCATATAATATAAGCATATATACAGTATAGAATTCTTTTGATAATATTAATAGTATATAAACTCTGTAAAAATATATGAATTTGAAAATCTTTTTGAATTCCTTATTATTTATATTGAAAATATTACTTATTATGAATTTTCGATGATAGATTTATTATAATTCATATGTTATATTACTTAGAAAAAATATTTCAAGTATATAATCACACTATGGTTTAATTTATTACATAAGTACATTGAATAAATAATAGTATCATAGAGCAGAAGTGTTATTGATAATTCTATTACATTTTAGAGATGATTATTTTAAATAATTCTCTTATATCTGGAGCTTTTGTTGAGTGTTAGTACTTTGATATAAAGTATGCCGTTAAATATACTATAAATAGTTCATTACTGTATAAAGCCAAACAATGAAGTTATTAACTAAAAAAAGGAAACATTAACATCTATCTATATTCAAGTAAACAGTTTTTGATAAATTATATTATAATCAATAAGCATAATTACATTTATAATAAATAAAATATAATAATTATTTTTAAGTTACTATCAATTAATTTGCTTAAAAAATTTCAAGAAAATTATGCTATGCTTTATATATGTAGCATTAATTCTTATTAAGAATTGAAAATTGTCACACTTTTTGTATATTACAGAAAAAAATAATTTTTTTACTTTAAATTTTTGTATACATTTTGTAAATATAAAAAATTATTCAAATCTACTTCATTGACAAATTATTATTCAATTATTATTTATTGACTTTATACCATTAGTTTAGTGTAATAAATAGTGTAATCATATTCATTATTTATATAAACTTATTAATCGAATTAATCATAATAAATCCTTTTTATACTGTAATTCTATAAAATAAATGATATGCTTAATTTATAAAATTTTGTTAAAAACAATGACATTTTTTTTTATTTAGAAAAAGTCAATTTATAACTTAACAAACTTATAACCTAACAAGCTTACTATTTATTTGTATAATAATTACTAGCTGAAAGATTTCTATACCCTGTGTTAAATTGACAAAAATTCAAATCTTATATTGAAAAAATAAAATGTTTTACAAATATTAAAGTAATGCAACTATAATTTCAATCTTCAATGATTTATATTTTTCTAAAAATAGTTTATTTTGAATTTTTCAGAACAATCCGATTTATAATGTTATAATTTCATTTATAATATATTTTCAAAATGATTTAATAAATATTATAACATTATATTTTTATAATTTTTCTTATATTATAATTATAAATGATTTAATAAATTGAGATCAAAGGATTTTCTAAAAATATTTATATTTTTATGTGATATATATTATAAATAAATGCTTCATACAAAAAGGCTTCGAATTTCATATCTTGAGTCTAAATAGAAAAACTCTTGTATGTGGCTTTAATACGTTAATTAATTTTTATTAATTTTTACGAATTATTTTAATTATTTACTCAGTTTTTCTCAATATCGATAAAAGCCAACGACAGTGTAATGATTAAAGTTTCAACCGCCTAATGAAATATCCAAATGAATTTGAAAAAATTATAATTAGAATTTAATTATTTTGAGATTCGAAATCGCAAAAACAACAAAAAGGTAATAAACATTTTAATTTTCATATAGGGTAAGAACAATTTCTTTTTTGAAGCCTATAATCATTGATTGAACAATCAATTTTGTTTCATATAAATAACATCACATTTGTTGTTTATTTTTAAGTTAACAAATTGATCAGCTTCCTATTCTACGTATTAGCTTAAAAAATCTGCTTTAAAAATGATTAATTTCTTACAGTTTAATCTTGTTAATATGTTTCATTTTTATCAAATGATAAAAATTATTTTCACTTTAAAATGAAATTAAATTTTTTATGACTGAAATTAACTTTATTTAACTTTTCTACATTTAGATAAGTTTAACAATGAATCA